CGTTCACGGTTTAATTGTTAAATCCAATGATCGTAAATGAAAAAATGTATTGCTTCTTCGATTGCTTGTATACATTTATGCGATTGCATACATAATTCAATTGCTTATATTATGCGTATCGCACCTGTACTTTTTCTTTGTGCACCTTTATCAAAACTCTTCTCGCATACGTTGCTACGTGCAGATCTACGTCCTGTCAATGGCCGTGCGAAAGTTTCATTTTTGTCGACGTGCGCTCAAATTTTCTGACTCATATAATTGCGTCAGTTAGACGTCGATCTGCATAAAGAAAAACAACGAGGTTTTGATTCGGGCAAGAATTAATCAGGATTTTTTTTTTTGAAGGTTAAGAAAGAGAGAAGAAGGAAGGAAGGAAAAATTAAAATACATTTTTATTTTATGTAAATTATTTATTTTTCACAAAAATTTAATATTTTCGATAATTACAATCAAATTTGTAAGATTATACAAAATGCTAGAAAGATAACAACTAATTTTATTGATCCTAATTATGTTCATAAATGTATAATATATTTATGATAAATAATGTATATGTATAAAATATATATATGATAAAAAAATAAAAAAATACACAAATTATATTTCATAAAGTTGTATTTAAGAATATAATACAAATTTCTTATATTAAAAATTGAGATTGTAAAGAGAAATGATGAAAATGTGTTCAATTGATATCTTGTACTATCTATAATTACGCGCCAAGAACAAATATAGATAAAAAGAGCTAGAGGAAAAGGACAGAGATAAGGAAAAAATTATGGAATTAGCGCCATCTCTAGGATGCCGCAAATGAAACACATTTAGAAAAGAGAATAAATAATAAGAAAAGGATAGAAAGAAAAATAAGAATTGATATTTAGCGCCATCTTTCTAATAATTCTTTTAAATAAATATTTTTAATAGTCAAGAGATGGAGCTGATTTTAATTCTTATTCTATTTTTTTTCTATTTATTCTTTTTCTATTATTTTATTTTCCTTGTTATATGTGTTTTATTTGCGGCATTCTAAAAAAAGACTTTTATCTCTTATTCTAACTTTTATTCTATTTCTATCCTTCTCTCAGTATCTCTTCTTTTTTGATATTTTCTCTGCGTTCAAAAGACTTTCAATATTTAATCAGAGGTATATATTTTATATATAAATTTTTTAAATATTACATTAATTTATATATTTTTATATTTTATAAATAAAAATTTTATAAATAAATCTTATAAAATAATATAAAATATTATTTAATATAGATTCGTTGTATAAATATGTGTCAAATATATAAAATATGATAAATAATAACTTCTTTTATCATATTAAAAATCATTATATATAAAAATTTTTATATATAATTCGTATCAAAATAATAATGATAATTTATGAAATATATATATGAAATATATGATAACCAACTTCCAAATGTTCGAAAATATTAAAAATTGGTTGTATAAGGTACGTGTAAAATATTCAAAGTCCTCTGTATGTGCGAAGAGCAATAATTGTACTGAGAAGATATAGCGCTGAATTTATCAATCCACAAATCTAAAACAAATATAATAATAAATATAAAAATACAAAAATACGATGTTTTTAATTTTTCAACTTACTGCTGCTGCCATCAATACTTCATATTCATTGTAACGTTTCATATTAGATACATGTACTATGTATGTTAACGATGCTGCTAGATATAATCCAAATGCTATTGAATGGTAAAGGAGTTCCTAAAATAAAAAGAAATAATATTTAATATATCCATCATTTAATTTACTATAAATATAAGAAACTTACATAAGTAGTCTTTGCGATGATAGAAGATGTTGAAAGAGAGGCTAAACAACTTAAAAGCAAAATAAAAGTACCAATCATAAATGTTGTCGTCATTAAAAAGAAAAATAGCTCTGCAGCATATATATAATTCTGAGAAGAAATGTGATGTCCTACTATTGCTACGCATACTATTCCAAGTATCTAAAATACAAATTTAAAAAAATTCTCTTAAGCCTTGCATAATAAAAAATGATTAAATTTAATTATTACATCATATTTTTTAAACGGAAACAAAATTAATATTACCATAAATATATTGAGATATATATATATATATATTTGTAATATATATAAGATAATATATATAAGAACTTACTAATTCAAATAATTTAAACGAACCGCTCCACGTTTTTAAGTAACCAGTATTGATGATAACTGCAGTAGAACTACTCGTTACCGTTTGAGTTCTAATAGTTACCGAATGCGACATAGTTATTCTTTTCCTTACCGATTCTGAAATTGTAAAACACTACGTTACCATGTAAGTGATAAATAACTCCAGAATATTTATGCGAGATCGTGAATGCAAAGAAGGCCAAGGCCAAAATTTTTCGAAGCTCCATTTAAATATTCTTCACATTTCACTAGAAGTTTCTCCCTTTGAAATGAAATTTAAGAATATGCGTGTCTTTTTTTCTTTCAAAAAAAATATAGATTTGTATATTAATTTTATTTTTTGAGTTTCTCATGTTACACTTAGTTTGCCAAACAATGAATAAAAATAGAATAAGATTTTGTATATATGAATGATATGAAAAGAAATTCCGAATACTCTCACTTTCATTTCATTCATCTCGTCACACCCCTAATATTTACTACCGATCGATACTTTCCAGACTTTCAGGATTACTTTCTCCTTTTGATAATCAGAGATATCAGATATATTTAACACATATATTTAATGTAACAAAATAAAATAAAGCAATTCTATCGATAAAATATTTAACAATAATATAATTTTATTACAAGTTAATGTTTCGAAAGAAAAAATTGTATAATCCCCAATATATCGGCATTTTTTTTTTAATTCAAATCACGAATGTGTCCGAATTAAGCGCGACTATGAATAAACGTGTGTGAAATTTCGTCATCGGTTATTTTTAAATGAAAGTTCGTTTGTAAAAGAAATTGATAACAACCGAAATTCGCACTTTTTTTTAATAAGCTGTCAACTACTTTTAATCTTTTAATTTATATTTGATAATAATTTAAAAAATTGTTAAAGAAATAAATTCTAATATTTTATTTTATAAATATACTATTTCTAATATTCTTACATTAATATTATTTCTAATATTGAAATAATTTTATGTCAAAATTTATGTCAAAAATATATATAATTGACTGAGTAAGACTTAAGATAAGGATAAAGATTAATTATTTATCACTAATTTATTTATTTTATCGCGATTATCGTAAAATATTTACATGATAAACTTATTCAAATATATGATTGTAATGCACTAATATGATTCACAACCGGCAAAAGTAAGTATTGTAAGCGCGATATATAATTTCGTAGTATACATATAAATTTCAAACTGACCTTAATAAGAAACGTGGTCGCGCCTTGAACGCCTGCGATTGACTGAAGTGCACGTTTGCGTTCTGGCGCGTTACTACAGTGACGTCATTGATGATATCATATTTTAGTTCCATTCCACTCGTAGAGATAAATATTAATATTATATAAATACAATTGCATTGTGGTTTTTAATCGTTATCTTAATTAATAATTTTTTAATTATTATTTTGATAATAAGATTAAAATATAAAATACTTTCAATTGTTTAATAAATTTTAATTTTTATAATTTTTTTTAATGTCTTAAATACATTATAGTTTTTAATTATTATGTCCATTAGATAACAATTTTTTAGTTATTATCTTAATCAAATTAAGATATTTTCAATTGTTCAATAAATATTAATTTTTTTTTTTCAATTTATTAAATGCAGAAATTGTTATTTCAGAATACCAATATAATTAAAATATTTGAATTTACAAGTTTTAGCAAGTAGATTCTAATTTCTTATTATTATTTAATCTTGAATTTCTTGTTTCAAATATATATAGATATGTATACATTTTTACTTTTTTAAATCAAAAATAAATAAATTTTATGCAATTGAATTTCATTTAATTTAAAAAAGTTAACAAGGAATAAATTTAGATATTTTAACACTTCGTTTTTATGTTTCACATTTTTAAGTCATGAGTAATTCTTACGGATATCTAAAGTTACTATATTTAAGTCTTTTCCTTTTAAACCATTGTGAAACAAAAACATTATTAAAAAATTATCTTTAAAAATATTCTTTTTTTCACTTAATATGGGAAGATCATAATCGAATTAAGAAACATTATCGAATATGATCAAAAATAGAAATTTTGAAAACAATATCGAAAACGAACATATATTTCAAAAATAACGTGTACAGAAAAGGTACAATGTATTCGAAAACATTCATTCACTTCTAATATAGTATTGAATTTTTCTTAAGATCAATGATACAAATTATACGTTATAGATATTTTATATGATTAAAAGAAAATAAAAAAAAAAAAAGAAAAGAAAAGAAAAGAAAAAACGATGTATTGAATTTGTGCAAATATATTATTTTATATAAAATATATATGTATATGTAAATATATATATATATATATAATGCGTGTATACATATAAATAAAAAGTCGCGATAATGTGAGAAAGGTACAATGAAAAAGGAAAATTTGACGGGGAAGTGCCTCAATAAGGTACGTACATTAACGATTGAAACATATATAAATTAATTGCATAGAATTTGAAAATATCGACAATCCAATATGGATTTTATCGATCTTAAAGCATGATTTGCTTTTTAAAAAGATAATATTTTTCCCTTCTTAGCATATCTGTTTACACAGTGAAAGATTGAATCACATAAC